CCTTCTTTACGTAAGTAGGCGCAGACGTGCTGCTTGAGATCGCTGAGCTGCCAGAAGCCTCTAGGAAAACGTTCAGCCGTTAATGTAAGGCATTCTGAGTCTCCTTTACCTTAACATTGTTACTTTATTTTATGTAGCCTGTTTTCGGTAGATAACAGTGGACGCTCACCGAGTATAAACAACCTGGGCGGCCCCGCGCGACCCTTTAATCTTCACCGTAACCGGGCAATGGATGAAGACTACACAGTTAAGGGAAGAGAATAGGCGCTGTGAGGCTGGTGTCAGAGTCCGCGATCCGTCGCAGGTTTCGCTGATTTGCGATCGCGATTTGCGCGATTCACGCGACGGGTCACGGAAATCACAAGTGCCCGATCAATACTGCAAGGTGTTCTCCAATCCCGCCGCCACTTCTGCTTGATAGTGATGGCTGAATGACGACTGCTCATGATTCCACTTGTTTCATATTCAGTGTTTCAAATGTTCAAATGGGGCACTTGCAATTTTGCGATCCGCGCGAATCGCGAAAATCGCGCGGAACCATCGAAATCTGCGACGGGTCGCGGACACTGGCACCAGTCTTGGCGCCCAAATTGTCTGCGGATCGGACCACAAATTGCATCCTGACTTGGTCGAGTTAATTTCATGACTCTCATAATTTACTGGTGACATGGATAGAAATTTAGTTCCATCGTGTTCCTGTTTCGTTAGCTAGCGGCGTATTCTTTCACAGGTCGTTCAGCTGCTCTAGTTGATGTGTCAGGAGGTCCGCGAATACACAAAGCACCTTTCGCGATTTCTCCAGCCAGAATTGGGATGAGTACGGTAGAACAACCCTGGCCGGTTCCATTTTATTTGTTGCACCTTGTCGGTCCTAAGATAATACAGCGACGTCAATGAATATCTCACTGATATAATACTATTCTACTGCCAAAAGTCTACTAAAATCTTTAGGTAGTACGTCTACTGATCGAACAGGGTGCCAGTATAAATCGAGCAGACAGTCGAGATCGTCAAGCGTTGCACTATGCTGCATCTTGTAGCCAGAATGTGGTTCGTGTCTATCCTTCGATAAAACATCCTTGAATCTTATTCCATAGAAAAGGTAATATAGGTTGCGGAGACGCTTCTGCAAGCAGGTGCCGATCCAAATGCTGCTGACGTCGATGGTATGACTCCCTTGATGGAAGCGTGCGCAAGCGGTCATGAGCTCGAGCTCACCACACTCAGCCTTCTGGAATATGTAATTTTTGAATGCTCGGTACACACTAATACTCATTTAGCGACAGGCTGAGTATCACAGTTAACATCACTCCGCCGGAGGAGATCCATTTCTGAAGAACACATCGTGGCGAGACACTGGCCAGGCCGTTTGCCGGTGATGAGTAACAAATCCCAGCACTTGACTTCAGCCGAGCACTCATTCAGCGCTCAGACCGATCGGCAAGCCACTGAGCGTTCTCCCCTCACGTCAATCCTTGCAATCCTGCCGCATTCTTGGAGATGGACTAATGGCTGGCGCCAACTTATATCGCGACTATAATGCTCCTTCAGGTACCGCTACCTGACCACAGGCTAGAGGTCTAGCTAAAGATTCGCTTTTCGCGGTTAGAAGACAGGGACGCAGACGGGTCAACGGACGAGTCGCAACGTGTACTGCAGCGATTTTGCGTTCAGTTGAATAAAATGGGCTATAACCCTCACATACCCCGCAAACGCGAATTCGTCCGCTGAAGGTCTCGGTCTCTGGCTTCATGTCGAGCGACGGGTCTCCTGTCGGGAACCCCATTAGGTGGATAGGGTTCACGTAGTGAAAGAAGGACGCTACTTAATTCCAAGAAAAGCTAGAATTCTCTGCCCCTCTCGCTCTCCGTCTTAGCTTTTTCGTTGTGAATCACAGCTCATACTACCACTTGTCGCCAAGTATAAACCCAACGTAGTTCTTCGCTTCAGAATCTCCTCCGAGCGTCAAGAAAACCGAGAACACTTGAAGAACTGTTGGAGGACATGAATCTTGCTCGACTTGTCGACAAATTCAAAGCAGAAAATATCGACTTAAATTTGTTCTTTGATCTCACTGATAAGGTTTGTCCATCCATTTTCAAGCAACATATCCTTAAAGGAATCTTCCACGGACCATGGACCAGTGGGCGGGACCGGAAGTGGTTTTGCGACGAAATGCATGGTAGGTACGGATCCACGTTCATGGGAAGGTTTGAAGTGAATCCTGTTCACGTTCGTGCGCGTGGATCCGTACCTACCATGCATTTCGTCACAAAAACTTCCGGTCCCGCCCACTGGTCCATGGTCCGTGGAAGATTCCTTTAACATCTTGTTTAGGATAGCTTC